GAAACACTGACTTCTACCATCAAACAGAGACCACAGAAACACTGACTACTACCATTAGACTGAGACCACTAAACACTGCCTTCCACCCTCAGAGAGGGAGATCACATGAACACTGGCTTCTACCATCAAACTGAGACCACTAAACACTGACTTCTACCCTCATAGAGATAGACCACAGAAACACTGACTTCTACCACCAATCAGAGACCATAAACACTGCCTTCTACGATCAGACTGAGACCACTAAACACTGCCTTCTACCCTCAAAGAGAGAGACCACAGAAACACTGACTTCTACCATCACACAGAGAGAACAAATAAGCACTGACTTCTACCATCAATCAGAGACCACTAAATACTGCTTTCTACCATCAGACTGAGACCCTAAACACTGTCTTCTACCATCAAACTGAGACCACAGAAATACTAACTTCTGCCATCAAATAGAGACCACATAAACACTGACTTCAATGTTCAGACAAAGACTGTAGAAACACTGACTTTTACCAGCAAACAGAGACCACAGAAACACTGATCAACACCTGGTAGTGAGTTGGATCAGATGGTGGGGGAAGATGCCGGGCAGACCCGGTAGACCCAAACGTGTAGTGAGGGTTTGCTGGGAATCCCTGGCAGAAGAACCATCAGAGAGGTCTTCAACGTGCACCTCCGGGACAGCATTAATCACATCCCAGCTGAGGTGGGGGACATTGAGACTGAGTGGGCCATGTTCCACACTTCACTTGTTGAGGTGGTTGCCTTGGGCTGTGGCTGCAAGGTTGTCGGTGCTTCTCGTGGTGGCCATCCATGAACTTGTTGGTGGACACCCTGGGTTAGGGAGGCTTTCAAGCTGAAGAAGGAGTCCTATTGGGCCTTGTTGGCCACTGGGACTCCGGAGGCAGCTGGGGAGTACCGGAGGGCCAAGTGGTCCGCAGACTTGGCTGTTTCTGAGGCAAAAGTTCAGATGTGGAAGGAGTTTGGTGAAACTTGGATAACGACTCTCGGTCGGCTCCGAGGAGATTCTGGCAAACCATCAGATGGCTGAGGAGGGAAAAGTAGTACTTTACTAACACTGTATTCAGTGAAGTTGGGCTGCTGTTGACCTCAACCAGTAATGTCATCGGGAGGTGGAAGGAATACTACTCAGACCTTCTCAATCCCACCAGCACGTCTTCCATGGAGGAAGCTGAGTTGAGGTGCTTTGGGGTTGATGTATCCATAACTGTGGCTGAAGTTGCCGAAGTAGTTAAAAAGCTCCGAGGCGGCAGGGCTCCAGGAGTAGATGAGATTCACCCTGATTTCCTTAAGAATCTGGATGTTGTGGGGCTATCTTGGTTGACACACATTTGCAACGTTACGTGGACATCGGGGGCAGTGCCACTAGATTGGCAGACTGGGGTGGTAGTTCCCCTCTTCAAAAAGGGGGACTGGAGGGTGTGTTCCAATTATAGGGGCAGCACTCTCCTCAGCCTCCATGGGAAGGTCCATTCAGGGGTACTGGAGAAGCGAGTCCTATCGTTGGTCAAACCTCACCTATGGTCCCGAGCTCTGGGTAGTGACCAAAAGAATGAGATTGTGAATACAGGCAGTTGAAATGAGTTTCCCCCACAGGGTAGCTGGACTCTCCCTTAGAGATAGGGTGAGAAGTTTGGTTATCCGAGAGAGATTCAGAGTAGAACCGCTGCTCCTCCACATCGAGAGGAGCCAGTTGAGGTGGTTCGGGCATCTGCTAAGGATGCCCCCTGGACGCCTCCCTAGGGAGGTGCTTCGGGCATATCTGACTGGGAGGAGACTCTGGGGAAAACCCAGGACACGCTGGAGAGACTATGTCTCTCGGTTGGCCTGGGAACGCCTTGGAATCCTCCCAGAGGAGCTGGAAGAGGTGGCTGTGGAAAGAGATGTCTGGGCTTCTCTGCTCAAGTTGCTGCCCCCTGCGACCCGACTTCAGAACAAGCGGAAGATAATGGAAGGATGGGTGGATGGATTAGTTCTGATCAGAATGTACCATAGCACTGAATCTGCTCTTTTAAGGGTTTTTAAGTACATGTTTTTAGCACTAGATTCTGGGAGCTGTGTTTTACTTGTGCTTTTAGACTTAAGAGCTGCTTTACACACAGTCGACCATGACATTCTCATCTCCAGATTGGAGCAGTGGGTCGCATCACTGGTTCAGCTCATCAGTGGTTTAGGTCCTACCTTTTTGGTAGAAGTTTCAGTGTAATGATGGATAATTTTACCTCTGCTTCTGCTGCCCTCCCCTGGAGGAGTACCCCAGGGCTCTATTCTTGGTTCTCTCCTGTTCTCACTTTATCTTCTGCCACAGAGGTTTTTTTTCAGAAATCATGGTGTACAATTTCATTTACAATGTATATGCAGATGACTGTCAAGTCTACTTCCCTTGGAAACATAATGGCTCCACTCCGTCTCTCCCGGACTGTCTCGATGACATCAGAGGATGGATAGCACTTAATTTCCTCCATTTTAATTAAAAAAAGACTGAGGTTATGATATTTAAATCCAGTGGTCCTAGCAGTTTCCCAATCTTTGATTTTTCCTCTGGCCCCACACGAAAAATTAATTGTTACAAATGTATGGGTGAAAATGGACCCCTGCCTGAAACTTAACTGCCATGTCAACAGCAAAGTTAAGTCCTCTTTCTTTCAAAGGTGACTGTCAAAATTCAAGCCCCTCCTTTCTAGGTGCCACCTAAGAGACAGTAATCCATGCTTTTATTACTTCACGTCTGGTTCATTGTAACTCTCTTTTGATCTGAGTCAGCTAGGCCCCCCTACATTTATAGCTGGTACAAAATGCTGCTGCACGATTTTTAACTAGTGCAAGTAGGTGGGAGCACACAACTCCAGTTTTGATGTCCCTTCATTGGCTTCCTGTCCAGTTTCAAATCCATTTAAAAGTTCTACAGTTTGTTTTTAAGTCATTGAATGGTCTTAGTCCTTCTTTTTTGTCTGAACTACTTCACCTTTATATGCCATCACATGCTCTTAGATTGTCTGACCAGATGCTTTTAGCAGTCCCAAATACCTTTTGTAAATCTAGATGAGACAGAGCCTTTTCAGCTCTGGCTCCTAAATTGTGGAATGAGCAGCCACTGAAGGTCAGGCAGGCCCCATTACTTTCTGTTTTTAAAACTCATTTAAAAACTTTTTTTTTCCCCCTTTGGCTTTTAACCTAGAGTGAGCTAGCATCTGCGTCTTAATATTGTATTATTTTACTTGTGATGTTTTGATTTCAAAATTTTTTATAGTTATCTTATTTTTTACTGTTGTTTTTTGTTTTTATTTTTGTACAGCACTTCGGTCGGCTGCTATGATGTATTTTAAGTGCTTTAGAAATAAAATGGTATGATATGGTATGATCATGTAAGTGATTGTATGGTTTTGTCTTAGAAGTTTTGAATGGTAAACATTGAAATACTGTAAGTATGGACTTACTCAGTCTTTGTGGTTGACTGGGTGGCTGGAGGAGGAGCTGGAGGCAGAACTTTTGTGGTTTACAAGAAACAAAATGTGTTAGCACAATTTATTTTCCAACATTATAATTCAACTAAATTTATATTTCAAATTAAATGACTAATCTAAATCAACATAAGAAATGAGGAAACCTTTAGTCTTGTTGTTTCCATCAGTCTTTGAGTAGATCTCTGGTTGAGGAACCACTTTTACAATCCCGTGTTTGATCCAGTCCATCATGCTATGAGGTAAACAACAAATATAGCTGATGTATGCACCATTCTCACTTTATTGCAACTAAAACAATGCACTATGGGTTTCTAATTATCTCTCAGATTGATGGCAATGTGTTCAACACTATGGTACTTCTAGCTATTTAACTGTCAATAATGGTGTACCACAAGGCTCAGTCTTAGGTCCCACTTTCTTTACAATTTTTACAAGTAATAAAGGTCAGAACATTCCTGATGACTCCTTACATCTCTATGCCGATGATACAATTGTTTATTGTCAAGCTAGAACAGTTACTAAGGTTTTCCAGCTTCTAAAGTGCATTTGACATAATGCAGTCAGATTTGTTCCATCTCAAGCTGGTACTAAATGCTGATAAAACGAAAGGGATGTTGTTTTCAAACAGAACATTGGTACCAACTGTCCTTCCTCCTATCTTATCCATTGTTTTGCTTACCCTAGTGAGGTAGACACAGGACGCGTGCCACGCCCTCACTGCAGCCTTCTCCACCAAGGGGTCTAAAACTAATCCTAAGGCCCAGGTTTTACCCGTAGCTGTTTTTTAGGACGGTTTAGTCTAAGGCTGTGTTGAGATGATTCACCCAGACTGTTAACTACCTCCTATCCATGCACCACACCCAGAATCTCACCTCGTGCCTCGCCCGACCTAGCAGCAGAAGTGGGGACGTTCGACAGACAAGGAAGCGCACGTTCACGGTAGCTCATCTCCTAATATAGCGTTGCAATTGTTATCCGATCTGGGGTTTTTTGGAATCTAGGAGTAAGATTCCTGGATGTTGTTTTATACTCAAAGCTACGAAACCCTTAAAAACCTCCCGAACTTCTGTTGTTAACATTGAACCAAGTTCTCCACTTCCATGAACAAAGGGGTATTGAAATAAGAATCCAGAATTTTACGTTTTGCTTTGCTTTAATCAATGATTTGCAGGGGAACAGCGTTATAGCAGAAATCCATAGTGATTATTCGGTTACATAGCAAAGTCAGTAGTCAAAAGTCCACTTGTTACTTGAAAGGTGTTACTGTTGATTGTTGGTTGATGTCCAAGGGGTGAAACAGTCCAATCGTGATGTAATTCCTTTGCTCTGATGAGCTGAACCAAAGAATTATAAATCTGTGAAACTCCAATGAGTAAAAACAGAAAATTATAAATCCATAAGCTCTGTTGAGGAAAAATAGAAATATATTAATCCTCACTCTGTTGAGCCAAAGTAAGGTAAGGTGATTAGGTTCAGGGGAAAACTTTTGCTGCTCCGAGACCCCAGAGAACACTCAGAAACTCAGAAGCTCGTTACTGGACTCGATGAGCCGTCAGCCGGCATCTCGAGTTTATCTTGTGTTCCCAGAGTCCTCCGGAGTGAAATATCGAAAATTAAGTTTAGTTGGAAAAATAAAAGTAAAAAAATTAAGTTTAGTCAGAAAAATAAAAATAAAAGTAAAAAAATTAAATTTAGTTGAAAAAATTAAAAATTAAAAAGTTAAAATCTAAAGTGTGTTCAAAAACTCTATCAAACAAAAAGGAGAAAAAAATATATAAAGGCATCTTCAGAATCCCATAATGCAGCAAAAATGGGGAAACTCCTAAATTGTATTAATTACGACTTTAAAAATACCAAATTTAATATAATGAGTAAATCCCAATAACTCGAACATTAAGCTGTGAACTTGACCTTTTGACCATCAATTCTATTCACTTTTAGTCAGTAACTAATTCATTTATTCTTAATCATTTAAAGTTCACACTCTTAACACATAGTATATTAGAAAGACTTCACACACTGTTACATACTATTATTTAGATTTGTTTCAGTAAATAAACCTTTCTTGCTTTTTCAGAAGTTTTAGTAAATAAACCTTTCTTACTTTTCCAGAACACATACTCAGGGATCTGTGATTTATACTGTGCTAAACCTTATTTTAGGTGATGAAAACTGACTTCATACCTCATCTGAAATGCACAACACTTGACACCATGCATTGAGTTCCTATTGAGTTTGTGGATTTAACAATGTCAGGGGAATTTAGGTAAAGGTTATGGATGTTTATTAGTAACTATTGTTAAACTAATTTGTGTGCGTTAGAGTTCCTTGTGTGTACAGAGCTTGTCTCTCTGATAAACTCCAAGACCTCAGTCGTCTGTAAGCTGGAACGCAGAAGTTGTCTTGACCTTGTCTCTGTCTGACAAGCATTATAAAAAGGAACTTCTTTATACTGTCCGTGGGCAAGTGTCTGTATAAGCCTGTTTTTGAACTCTGCCCCCTTGCAAGTAAACTGGTTTGAAAAATATTCTTGTGCCCTCAGAGTGGTTATTTGAAAAAAGAGATGAAACAATGTTTTTTTTTAATCCAACACTTGTTCTTAGTATTTTACCTTGTTTATAAGGCACTTTAATTTTATTGTTTGTAACACTACTTTTATTTTTATTTTATTTACATTTTATTGTTGTGTGCTGTTTATTGTTTTCTGTACCTTATCTTCTGTTTGTCTAAAACAGGTCTCTCTTGTAAATGTGTCCTCATGATTCAATGAGACTAACCTGTATAAATAAAAGTTGAATCAATGCTACTCTTTTTTCTCTGTCTAAAAACACAATGTCTTCTGAAAACAGACAAATGTTCGTCTAAACAACTATATGACCAGTGGCGATTCTAGACTCTTTTTGGAATTTGAACTCGGCACCCCTGATAAAAAAAAAACAACATCATTAGGATTTTGTAAGGAAGCTTAATTCTCAAATCTTAGATTTACCAAAAATTTTGAATACATTTTAAATACATATGGAAGAAAAGATGACACTCTTAAATGGGCCAGTAAAATCTGATTTTTTTGCATGAGTTGGATCCTCAATGTCGCCTGTCAATCAACCCAACGGGCATGTCAGCAACTGCCCAATCAGCGATCACAATTTGTCCCAGAATGACACACCCCTTACCTGCAGAAGCTGCACCCCCTTTTCCTCCCACAACATTGTTGGAGTTTTGCATTATGAATGCTTCACAGTCATAGAGATTTTGTGAAAAATCATTAGAAAAAATGATTCAACGTTGTCAGTGGAGAACATGCAATTCAGACACGTGTTACTCTGAGTGTGTAGAGGGTGGAATATAGATTATTCCATTTCCAAAGACTAAACTGAGTCTGAAAAATTGTAAACGATGATAAAGACCTGAGCCAACCTCATGAGCGGCTGAATACAACAGTTATAAACAGGAAGTACCACATGTTCATCTGTATGAAGGTAACTGCAGGTAAATCCTTCATTTTCTGTCATAATTAAATTGTATGCTTAATAGTTAAGTTAAAGGTTAATGCTTGAAGCTAGCTGTTGTCAGGATTTATCAGGCAAGGAGCAAACCCAATAGTTACAGACAGGACTCTGGACGCAGGAGGTACAAAAACATAGGTATTTAATAACAATAATCCAAAATGGCTGATGTGGCAGCAATTCACACTCTTGAGACCGGAACATGACAGGACACATCAGTACAGGACAAGGAAGACCCAACGATGACGCGACAAAGGACAAGACTCACAGACAAGCTTAAATACACAGACAAGACAGAACGTGATTACAAACAGCTGGGAATGGAAGGTGAAATTAATCAAGAATAATGAGACACACACAAAGGTACACAGACAGGGAAGGCCCACAAGATGGTGCCATCCATACAGTACTCCCCCTCAAGGACGCCCCTGGTGTCCCCAAAAAAGCCCCCCCAAAAGACTTGGGTGGGTGGAGGGAGGAACTGCAAGTTCAAGTATCTTTATTATCCCCGAGGGGCAATTAGTTTCACAGTCAGTAGATGTGTACATATACACACGCATGCACATACACACATACACATAAATACATACGCATACATATATACATAAGACATTAAGACATTAAAGCAACAGTATTGAAATTAGTGTTCATTGAGAAACCTGATTGCTACGGGGATGAATGAGTTTTTCAATATGTTTGTTCTACATCTGGGTTGCAGAAACCTGCATCCAGATGGAAGCAACCTGAACTCACCATGGAGTGGATGATCAGGATTTGCCAGAATCTGCCTGGCCTTATTCACTGACCTCACCTTGTGTAGGTCAGCAAGGTTCCGTAGGTCTATACCAGCAGTTTTGTTGCACATCTTGACAATCCCCGAGAGTTTGCTCCTGTTCTTACATGTCAAAAGTCCAAACCAACAGATGAAGGTAAAGGTTAAAATAGACTCAATCAAACATGAATAAAACATTCTCATAAAAGTTGAATCGACATTAAAACCACAAAGCTTCTGATAAAAATACATCCTTTGGTGGGTCTTTTTACAAAGGGAGTTCACATGGAGGTCAAAGGTCAGTTTATCATCAAGAACAGTTCCTAGGTATTTATATTGTTGCACCATCTCCACAGCTTCACCGTTAATAACCACGGGAGCTGCAACTGAAGATTTTTTTCTGAAATCAATGACCATCTCCTTTGTCTATTGGGGGCCGAGATGGTGTAGAGGCAGGGCAGCCGGCTTGGGACCCGAAAGTCCCAGGTTCGATCCCCAGTCACTGCACATCACGTGGTGTCTCTGGGCAGCACGTCTCATCCCCAAAATGTCCCCCGGGCGCTTTCAATAGCTGCCCACTGCACCACCTGGTGGTGGATGGGTTAAATGCAGAGACTAATTGTATGGAAACATACAGTGCTGACATTGTGATTACATTATTATTATTATTATTTTGTAGAGGTTGGCTCCTCTACCCCTCCCTTCTCTGTTGTTTGCTCTC